CACACACACACACACACACACACACACACACACACACACACACACACACACACACACACACACACACACACACACACACACACACACACACGATTCAAAATGTTGCCGGAAGTTATTCAGAGACTCTCGGAATATCAGTATTACTGCAGGGAAAGTTGTAAAACTAAGTACTAATACTAAGTAATAAAAACTTCTACCACTATATACTACGGGACATATTAACAATATTTCAGTAAACCTCATTGAAAATATTTTACCAAATTACAATAATAAATAATGAAAATAAAACATCTGATATTTCAATCTAAGCCATGTTTGACTCTAAAACAAAAAAATTATAATTTACTTACGTTTATTTTCATAGAAACAAGAATCCTGTCCCATGCCAGTCAAAGTGTTTGGCCACCACACTAAAGCAAAACAATCCATCTAAGCGGGGAAGGCACCATTGCCAAAAAACCAGCGCAGATAAATTAATGGAGGCAAACATGGGAAATGTCTAGGGGAGGAGTGAGAAGTACGGAGCAGGAGCATGAGTGCGCTTGGCCCCAGGAGCAGGGATTAGGGAGGGAGGCGTGGGTGGTAATCTGCGTGCAACAGAGGCATCATCCTCATGTCAAGTTCAAGCCAGCACACAGGGCAGGACAATCTTTCTGCCCGAGGTTTAACAGCACTCTCTCTCTCTCTCTTTCAATCTCAATGCAAACCATAACTGTAATTTGTGCAGTGACATCACTATCGTCAGAGGTACCGGCATCGTTTTTCATTTCATTTCACTAAATGGTACTTTTAGATATGAAAGATAGATATGCATATGGTTTTGGAAAAAATTGAGCCAAATTGAAATAGATGACGAATGCACATGACACAAATTAATTTGAATTATTGCATTTTACAACAAATAACATTTGCTATCAAATTGTATGAAGCTGAGTGGAAAGTTCATTTAGTCGCCCATATAATCCTAGTTTCGTTCTTTATAAACAGTCATGATTGACAAGTGTTCCTGACATTGCACCTCATGACCTTCGACCAATAAATTCTTGTTCATCCTTGAGTCCAAGATATTGTGTGTAACAACTTGGAAAAGATTCCCTGTAGGTGCTCTTGACATACATATCATGCTCACAAGGCAAAAAATATGTTTAGTGAGGCCACAGTGGCCTTGACCTTTGGCCACCAAAATGTAATCAGTCCATCCTCGAGTCCAATTCAATGTTTGTACCAAGTTTGAAGAAATTCCCTCCAGGCATTCTTGAGATATGTTCACAAGCATGAGATGATGAGAAGAAAACATCATGTCTCCAGAGGCAAAGCTTTTCTTTAATGTCCATTTGGATTGTTTATCGTCAGTTTATTCTTTACTGAGTTCTGCTGCTGCTGCGGCGACCTGCTGTTAAATTCACCTTCCCTTGATTTGCTTTATGTGTAAAATATCCCAGGAATGATTTAAAGGCCCCTGGTATCCAGACAAAACTAAAAATGCATTTTCAAAGTAGGTAGTACAAAGGACAGCAAGTCTAATGCCCCAACTACAGATAACTGACTGATAACTGAAGGAACGTCTCACCTGTCACGTCACCATTTACTTGGCCTTTGTAGCGGGGACACATTGTGGTTTGTCTCGGTGCGTCTTCATTGGACACTGGACTTCCCTCAGGATTAGTGTAAAACAAGAGAAGAGGCTGGAAATGTCCTCTGATGCATTTAGAGGCCACGTCTTTCCATTTGGATCCGATCTAGAGGGAGAGACGAGGGTGATTTCAGATCATGTGACCGACAGTGACAGGTAGTCGACATTTGAACGGGGATAAAGCAGATTAATAACCGGGTTCCTAACCTCCTTTACAGTAGCATCATCAAAAAACATCCATTTTGAAGATTTGGTGTGATAGGCAAAAGCTGAGTAATGTTTACTCGAAAAACAGATCATCCCCACCAGATGTAGCTCGCTCCGCTTGGCATTTTCATCAGTGACGCGGTTGAAAAGCTGAAAGAGAGCAAACTGAAGTTTGATCTCTGCATATTTCTCTCTGGCAGATGCTAAATCCTGAGAATATAATTTCTGTGTGTGGTTTTGATAGCCTGTTTTGTTAAGGATTACAGCACACTGACCTTCATTTCTCATTTATTATAACCAAACTGTGATCAGTGTAATTTTGTGAATATGTAATTTTTTTTTTAGATCAAATCTTTAAACACTACAGGCAGATTGCTGTGTGCAGAACAAAGTGACGATGAATAAGATGGTGAACATGATGAATTCTTTTTTGTCATCTGGTGCTTACAGGCAGCACATGAGGTCTGAAGGCCTCTTACCCCACACAGGTTCAAACGCGGGCCAAGCGACCGGATGACATCGTCCGTGAGATCCGACTGCTCGGCGTCCCACACGAATCCTATGGTCACGATCTCTGGACAGTTCATGAGCACACGGCGGATCTTGATGCTCTGACCACAGTCACTCTGCAACACGTGAAGAATTAGATTTCGGCCCTGTGGTTGTAGGCCAACCAGTGCAGCTTCTGTCCTCATATTTTGACCTTTGACCTCCAAAATCGAATGAGTTCATTTTTAAGCAAACAAAACATAAGCTGTTTGTTTTTCACCTTTGACTCAGCTGAGGTTAGCTGTTACCTGTGTAAAGGTAGGCTGAGCAAACACAGGTGAAAACACTGAGGAGAGTAAATTGTTGTAACATGTTTTTTTCTCAAATCCCAGTGAGAAATAAATGAGCTTATTTCCACAGTAGCGCTTCAGTTTGTGGTTTTATCTCAGTCTCTCATGTGACTCATCACTACAAACTCCCAAAACAAGGACTATTGCAGAGCTGGAGCAGAGACAGTTATTATAATTATCTGCATATCAGTGTCAGTAAGTCAGTGCAGAGAAACAGAGAAGTCAGCTTCACCACGCTGATGCAGAGAGAAGAGGGAGACAATTGCAGCAAATACAGATGAGAGAGAAACACAGTGAAGCTCTGACTGCTATTTATATCCTAACACTAGTCTGGCACCATCTCCTTCCGGCTGCTTCAAGAGCAGTGTCACAGCGGAGAGCACACAGTGTACTCTGTGCACTCAGGAATCTTTTTCTTCATGTGTCTGTTTAACAGTATCATGAAACTGATTTATTAATTCACAGATGGCTGTATCCAGTCAGAGGTTAAATCTGATCAGATGTTTGGACAGAACAGGTTAAGGTTCTAAAACACCACAAGATTTGTTAATTTATCAATAAGGACACATGATGATGAATCACAAACCGGGCAGCTGCGGAGGTCCCCTGTGTTGTTTGCTGCCTGCAGCAATTCTCCAAACATGTCGGACCTGAGCCGCTCGTTTTTACCAAACATTCGATCAACCTGTTGGCTGCAGAGAATACAAATAACAGAAAAACAGAGACTGGTCACGGAGGGCAGATAATAGCTTTTTGATAAACACTTAACAAAAGCCAACTGATATATGAACCTGATACATGATACTGAGCCTTTCACAGATATATCAGAATCTATTTTCATGTTTGTCACTATGCACAAATATGAAAACTTTTATTTAACAAGATTAACAATGAACAAAAGAAAATATTTTACATTAAGGAAATTATGTTTATTTTCTTAATTTGAGTTAAATATTCGGTTGCATTTGTGTTTTCTTTGCTTCATGCATCGTTGCCTCTTGATTGTGTTCACCACTACAAATTAATGCGATTAAACACAGACCTGTCTCCAATTCTAAATTTAGGAAGATTCAGTTCAGTTTTTTGTTCACATTAAATTTCAATGTGATTCTAATATTCTTTCCTTTAAGGAAGGGAAATTGATCTAAGAAGTTTATAATTGTAATCAAATTATTTTCTATGATCCTTTATTAATACTGAAATCAGGAGTTACTCACCATAAAGAAGTGGTGGAGACATAATGTACAAATTCTGTGAACGGGTGTGGATCTGAAGATGCACCACAACAGCGACACACAAACTGTAAAAAAAAAAAAATACAAACAAAACATATCTGATTACATTTCATATTTACCTGTAAGTAACATGTCTGTGCATTAAGAATTAAAAGTTAAAACAGCTTGTTAATATCTATCTTAGAGCAGTCCTGCACTATTTCATCATTCAACAAATAAAATGACATAACAGCTCAGAAAATATTATTTACCTGCTCATAAAGCATCATTGCAAACTTCTGATGGGTGATGCAGGATTTAGATGAACAAGCATCAGTCGCCGTGTCTGAAACGATGTGTAAATGAATTCGCTCCAGGATGTTTTCCTAAAGGATGACAAGAAAAAAAAGAGCCGGTATGGCCGACGTGCAAACACACATGAAACATAACACTACTGCACAGTTAGAAACACAAAAATAAAAGGATTGTGTCGATCTACACCTTAAAAATGTTGTGTTTCCTTACAAATCTAATGAACCAGTCGTGGTCTATAGCCTGACTGATATGGATATTTGGGGGCCGACATAAATACAGATATTAGGGAGTTTCACTAATATAACTACATATAAAAAAGGGAATAAAAAACATATTGAAATTGAAAAGTGAATTCTGAAAACAATTTTTTGTTCTTTAAAATAAAGTTTTTATATTGGTTCATATCACCAAACCAAACCATAGACACTGATATTTCTGTGAAAGGCTCATATCAGCAGATTTTTATCGGCCAACAAATACACATAAGTCAGGTTCTACTGAGGTCTCCTCCTTTTTTCCCAAACAATCTGCACAACTAAAGAAATAAAGGAATTTTAGAGGCTCTAGGATCTATACAGGCACAATAACAGATCCTAACAGGGCTTCAATATGCAAACAAAAAAAACAAGAGGCCAAACTGCACCTTTACATACGGTAGATAAAGCGTACACAGAGCGGAGGCATTTTGTCAGTGGCTTCTGCTTCCTTATACCTTCAGTGTCACAGAGGAGGAAGCACCACAACATTATTTAACACACAGTCACTGTGGAAATGTCTTATTGCATCAGAGTGTCTACTTACAAAGCACTCAGCAGCATCGTCCATCAGTCCCAGCTGGAAGCGCTGCTCGTCCTTAAAAGTTTCAGCCAGAGCGTTCCGCAGGCTGTCGGAGGGAAGCACGCGCTCTCTGCTCTGTTGAAACTGGCTGAATATACTCTGAAAGAAAAACAAAAAAACAATGACGACTGTGTCAATTATCTCTAATAAGATTGTGGCAGAAAAACGACTTTCACAATCTGAAGCTACAAACCTTAAGAGCACAGAAAATGCAGCCATCACCCAGACAAAAGTGACCCGAGAGCTGCCTCAGACTTCTCCTGAAAATATCCAGCTGCCAAAGCACCTGTGAAGAATCAACAGCAGCTGAACTTATTCAAGGGATTCAGACACTCAAACTGTGGAGACGGATCAGAACTGTTTTTTGATTTTAACCTGCGATTTAATACCTCGTTACATTTACTTCCACCAATGGTTTACGTTTTCACCCCAGTCAGTGGGTTTGTTTGTTTTCTCATCCGTCAGCAGGATCACGCAAAAACTACTGGATGGATTTCAACGAAACTTGGTGCAAGGATAGGACATTTACTGATCTGGCCACAGGGAGAGATCCAGGATTTTTTTTTTTTTAAATTGTGAGATAGATAGATTTTGATATGATCTCCAATTTCCCATGGTATAATTCATGCATCTTAAAAAAAACTTTGAGAGGTCACAGTGACCTTTGACTTGACCAGCAAATTCTCATTAGGTCATCCTCGAGTCCAAGTAAATGTTTTTGCCAAATGTAATAAAATTCCCTCTGGGAAACCAAAATCAAATCAGTTAATCCTTAAGCTGAAGTGAATGTTTGTTCCAAATATGTAACGATTCCTTCCTGGTCCTTCAGAGACATCACATTCAAAAGGCAAAACATTTGCTTCAGTTCATCCTTGATGTATGTTTAAACCAAATTTGAAGAAATTCCCTCGCATTCAGCCTGAAAACATTACGCCTCCGGGCTGTGGAGGGATAAATAACATGCACGTTTAGAGGACTGATATTTGTGCATGTGTGCAATTTGGTGTGCGGCTTGACTGAAATGAAGGGGACACTCTTGGCTGAGGTAAGTAAGCCCTTTGCTGAATCTCATTCTAGTTTAAAAATTGCAGCTAGCGCTGCCAAGGCAACTGAAAGTGAACCCTGGAATCTGCAGATATTCACAGCTTTTAATTATTTTCAGCTCAATATTATGGTTTGCTGTGAGTCCCCCCAGCTCCATCTAACCCACACATGCAGAACAACACCCAGCTCTCACTGAGACACTGCCAGTGAAAATAATAAGAACTGTAGCTAACAAAGCTCGAGACATTTCATTCAGGAGTTGACAGAAAAAAAAATGAATAAAACATCAGTAGGAACTGGTAGGATTCTTTCCATATAATTGTTTCTTACAAATATTGAGATAATATTTCCTAAAACTTTTGTCGACGGACAGAGATTTTTGTTTGTATGAGGTAGTTTGTTGCTGAGTTGGTTTTGGGGTCCACTTCTGCCCCCTAGTGGCATTTCATGCTGCTTTTCATTGCAGTGTTTGAAACTAGAATTGCAAAATAAGAGAGTGCACTTGTTAGAAGGAGAATTGAATGTTTGTTAATCTCCATTAAGGACGTTACGTTTATTTGTTTGTTTGTCAGCAGGATTACACAGATACGACTGAACACATTTCCATGAAAACTAGGAAGGGTGGAACATGAATTAAGAAAGAACCCAGTAAATGTAGATTCTGATTTCCCAGAGAATATTCCATGGATCTTGATGAAAAAGATTAACCACATTCAGGGGACATGTATCTACGAGTGTGTGAATTTGGGTCATGGTGCAGCATGACTGAATTGAAGGGGACTGTTGGGCCTTAGTGAAGTTATCTGCTCTACTGAGTCATTTAGAGTTAATAGAAAGTGGTTCTCACCTGAACAGCGCTGTTTAGGAAGCAGCTATTCTGCCCGGGCTCGTTCAGCAGGCCTTTGGTGAGTGCGAGTGACAGCATGCTCCCAGGCTGGTAGGATTTCTTCAGGCCTCCTCCTGGTTTTTTGAACATCTTCACCCATGCCATGGAGTTAGAGCCTGCAACTGATGAACACAATCCCCACAAGTCTGTTTGTGTTTTAACAGAAATTTACATCCAATATACAAACTAAAAACTTCAAATTGTGGTTTTAATAAAGATGTTCAATAATCTAAACTGATTGAAAGAAAACTAGTGATCAACAGATTCAATCCTGTACATTTCTGTGCATTGTTTTTAGTTTTAGTATACACTGATCTACTGATGTTTCAAAATTATTCCTGCATGACACTATGGGAGTATAATAACTAGCTCTGGATAAAAAAATTAATCAGTTCATATTGGACCCAGTTTTCATTACGTCACTAATCCAAATCACTGCTTTGGTCACATGGCAGACGAGTCGTGTCGTCTACCTTCCCCGGAGTTGGAAGGAGACTTGCTGCAGCCGGACATGCTGGGAGGTGGGAGCTGGTGTGTCGGTCTGGCCACGGGCTCCATCCATTTCATCCCCACGCACCTCCGGAGCGGTTGGTCGAAAGCATCATCAGGATCAGCCACAGGGCAGCTTCAGCCATGTGCTGCTGGACATTGAATAGCTACCGGACACAGTCTGTGGGTGGAGGAGAGAAAGAGGTGAACCACTGCCGCCACTGTACTAACAGAAGTCTGTGGTGCAGCTCAAAGCATGAAGAACAGTAATGCTTCAGAAGTGCAGAGGCCTTTTACTGCATCTGATCATAACCAAAAATATCACAAACACAAGTTCAAAGCAAAGTTTTCCTTCAGGGAAACAGCTGCTAATTGTAGCATTTGCAAACTCTGCATTGTTCATTTGCAAACCATCAACTGTAAATAGTATCTCCGTTCAGAAACATAAGACCTGAGCTGAGTTCTGCACCTCCTCTGTGATCTGCAGCCTTCTCAGCCCTCCACAGTCTGATGCAAGAACACGACAACATTTGAACTCTTCTTAATACTTAATACTCATAGAAATAAAAGACAACCCCTGTTTAACTTTGAACATGTAAACCAACCAGATATTGTTGGACTTGTTTTATTTGTGCTTGACCCAGCCACTGCTTCAACACTGAGACATTGTTTTCAGAAAAACATTTAAAAATACAGAAGTAGAACAACAGAATAATAATGTTGCAATATATTCAAACCCATTTCAACCATAACAACATGACTAGAATACTTGCTTACAATCTTTTGATACATAAAAGGTATCAATACTATTTTAATAAAAACCTAAAATGGTGCCACATTTCTTATATTCAAATTTGCAAGAATAGTAAATTTGCAATTTCTCTTTGCTTTGGAACGAACTATTTTCTTGTGGATATGATAATGATGTGCCATTATAATACGTAGTTAGAGGGCTCATAAATAAACAGTTGTCTTATTTGAAATTCATTTTTGCTCCATTAAATTTTAAACTCCATTATTCAGTCTACAAGAAAAACAAAGAGGCTCAACCCAACGGCAAAAACAACCAGAACAACAGAACTGAAGCTCTGATGCTGCTTTGCTTGGTTTACATTTGAAAAGATTAGACAAATCAGTATTTTCCATATGATGAGATGAGAAATAAACACATTTCTTTCAACAGGATGTCAAACTTTTAAATGCATGTGTGGTTTTATATATAAATATGCATATACATATAAATATAAATATATACACATAATCCCAGTCATGTTTGGAGAACACTATCACGCAGTATTCTATCATTTTTCGCATTTTAAAATCCATATTCAAAGCCTGTGTTGGTGCCATGTGTTTGTGCACCAGCCTCTGACACCATGTGATTCAGGCCTGTGACACAAACACCATCTCTGCTGTGTGGGGTTCATGGAGGGGACATAAATCCTTTATTGAACGGGGCTTTTATGACCACCCTGTGTTTTCCTGCCTGGTTAAAAAAAACATAATCAAGAGCTTCGACGAGAGCGGTCCCACAGCAGCAGCAGCCAGTGCTCCACCAGCCCCACGGTGAACTGTGCATGTGGGAACTGCGCCCGGTTCAGCCACTATAGCACAAATATGCCGCAACTTGCACGCACATCTCTGGGTGTAAAATAAAAAACAAGCGCTCTGCAGACTCACCTCTCGGAGGAGCGGAGACCCCGAGCTGAGGGCTCAGCGCGGCAGCAGCTGTCAACGCGCAGATCCCAGCACCTCTCCCCCAAAACCTGCGAGTAAAACCCGGCTGGAGATGACTGCAGACACGTCCCGACGCATGTAACGCACTATGTGCCACGGTGCAGCATTCAGCCCCTGCAACACGCACACAGGGCGCACACAGCCCGAGCCCGACGATGGCACCGCGCAGATCCTGCGGGGACAACGATGTTTGGGTGGAGAATCGTCCCGGTTCTTTTCTTTTCTCCCACCAGCCTCTGCAGCTGATGGCCTGAGCCCGAGTGCCCGACGCGGATTAGTAATGTTTTGAGACTTGAGAGGTCAAACTCCGCCCCTAGTGTCGCCTCCAGCGCACTGCCGCTGTACTGCAGTCCTCAGTCTCCCTGCTGGAGAAGTGCGCGCTGGCGGAAGGTCAGACTTCCAACTTGTCATCATGATGAGAGGAGACATCACATGACCGCGCTGGTTTCATAACCCCCTGCTTTCAAAAGCCTGCCGGATTTTTTTATTTTTTTTAAAACCAAATGTCAAAAGGCACAACAGGAAACAGTTTGGTGGTTTTGTTTGGACTCAGTGTGTAAATATGCCACGATGGCCTTTAGGAGCCAAACTGCACAAAGAGGCCGTCACTCATTATATTTCTGTTATATTGATTATGTCTGAGAGATATGACAAAAATTATATCACAATAAAATGTTTAATATTAGTCGATATTTGTGATAAATATATCCATTTTTTTTCCATTATCAGTTTTGCACATTTGAGTCTTTTATGCATTTATTCATAACAAACATACAAAAAAGAAAAGAAGAAAACAAAGAAAAAGAAATGAGGGCTTTAACGTTGTAGTTTTTAGTGTGATTCACTTTTATCAGGATTTATAAATATATATATATTTTCTGTCACCCCTATGTCTCATCATTCCCATCACATATATTCCTTGTACTATTTATTTTTATTTTTAAAGAACTATTTTTGCTCCTGAGTGAAGGTTGTGGTTTTAAAGTCAACAGACACTTGACAAACAGATCTGACGTATAGATCAAATCATGAAAAAGCAATATATTGTTATGCATTGAACTTTTGTTATATTGTTATTGATGAAAATCATGTTGAAACAGCTATAGCTATTATTTTTATCTCCCTTCCCAAATGCCCACACACATAACACATAATGTAAAAGACCGCATCAAATGATATGAACATATTTCAAATCTACTGTTTCCATTTCTCTGACTCTGCTGCAGTGAACAGGACAGAGATGCAGGCAGATGGAGGGCCTGGCAGGAGGAAGCCTGCAGGCTTTAAGAGTAGACAGGACTAAAAGAGGCTGATGGTGCATGAGAGTCAGCGTCAGCAAAAAATTACTCTGACCAATTAGTGCATCTCTCTCTCTCTCACTCTCTCTCTCAAGTTTTAGTGGATCTGTTTCATCCTGGCAAAGAGAACTGGGGACTGGTCAGCATCATAGCCAACACGTTTCAAAACAATATGTGAGATTTCAAGAGTCATATGACAAATGAGTGTTTTGTTGATGCAGTAAACACAGTGTTTACCATCACCATGCTCCATGCCAAGTGTTTATCAGCTGTTCCTGTTCACACTTTATTTAAATACAGCACGTGTAGCGGAAGATGATTTACAGTGTTGTTGTGTGTGTCCACAGCGTGTGGGCCAGCCTGTGAAAAACAGAGGGAAACACTCTTCTTTAGTTGTTACACTGATTTGGTTCTCATTCATTTTGAGTCCAAGAATTAAATCTGGGAACACTAAACAGGCACTTCTTCTATCACGATTATTTATTTATTAGTTATTTCAGTGATGCCGATGAATCGATTACTGGACTGGAAGACAAAATAACTGGGTATTATAATGCTTTTCAAATTAAGGGCTTATGTTATGTTTTAAGATGAAAGTCCAAACGTTGAACGTTTCCAGCTTCTCAGGTGTGATGATATTTTCCAAACTAAATGTCTTTGATTTTTGCATCAAATACAATTAAGCTTTTTACCTTGCTCTCTGGGAAATTATTACATTCATTTCTCAATATTGTCAAATGTTGTACAGACTAAACAATGAATCAATTACTGACAAAATAATCAACATATTCAATCGATAATGGAAACTAGAATTTCATTAAATGGAGCACATCCCAGGGCAATGGCCTAAAAGTTCCTTTTTGTCTGTATCCAGTATTTAATGGCCCATGTTCCATCCTTCCACCAAGTTTTAGCATGATCCTGCCGACCAACCAACTCACCAACTAAGTGGACTGGGCGAAAATAGAACTCACTTGGGGGAGGCAATCATTTTTGTTTGCAGCTCTACTGTAACTGTGCCTGAAAGAAATGATACCATTGGGACTTTGTGATTTTCTGGTCATGTTGCTGACAGTTAAAATCAGGCATTACTGTTATTCTCACACAGGTTCTAACACTGTATGTTCGTCAGCACCAGACACAAGCGGTACATGGAAATAGTGTGGAACATGTGCAGACCACAAGATGGACACACGTCTATAAATACAGTATATTTGTATAGTTGGCATTTCTGTAATCTTGTCTTGTCTCTAGCAGTTGCACTGAAACCTCTCTGGGGACACATGAAGAGTTCCTGCTTGGTATTTATAAAAACATCCGTACAGTGTTTCTCCTGCTCAGTGTTCTACAGCTGAGATGTGCTGTCAAACTCATTTGTTCTTAAAGTTATTTTTGGAGCTTGTTTCTTGTGTCTGTTTTCTTTTCTTTTCCAGTTTCCGGTTTGAAGTATATGAAACTTCAACCTTCCTGAAGTGGCTAAAATAGATTCACTCCCAACTGTAGAACTCTTGAAGTTACGACCAAAATCAGTGGGTATGAGGCCAGTCAGAGTAAATATAGAAGTTTTGAAGTAGTTTTCTCTGCATCAAACTGATTTGGATGCTACACATTATAATAATTATACCAAAATTCATTCAATAGCCAATGGTGAGTGGATGAGAAAAACTCTGTCTAAATTTAGTCAAAAGCATAACAATCTACATTTGGATTGTAATGTAGCATTGAAACAGCTGAAGAAATCAAATCAATTGCACATCTGACTTGGTGGGTTACTCATACAATCTGTGGTGACCATTTCATGTGAATGGTATGCAAATACTTTGGAGTGCTAAGGTTTTGAATAAAAGTCATTTCCCCACCTTGAATTCAGTCTGAACAGAACTCCTCTCTCTCTCTCTCTCTCCATATATATATATATATATATATATATATATATATGTTTACATATAACAAAATATAAAGAAAGAAAATAAATAATATATCTTACTGCATGTTCCAGTTTTAATTGTGTGTCATCAATAAATAAGTTTGCATTCTTTATTTACATTACATATTAATGTTCTCATTTGAAAATTGATACAAATTTACAGTGTTGTTTTCAGTATCGGTGGAATCATTGAATTTCTTGAATTATGTATAGCACATTCATTTTGCTATTTACATGATTTTCTTTGGGGACAGTTTTTCTAGTGGACAGCAAAAACATACTAGTCGACTGAGAAATAAAAGCACAGCACCTTTATGTGTGCATGGATTTCAAACCTAGACTGCATCAAGATGGACAACGTGTCTCCACTTCCTCCCACTGTCCAGATATGAACACTGCAGTCTTATTCATTTTGGATCAGAGTCTGTGCAGTAGCTGCAGTCTCAAGTTCCTGCTGATACACATGCTTGACCAATCCTGAGTCAGTCTCTGCTGTCAATCATGACGTTTCACTTTGTTTTTATAGCATCGAAAAATGAATTAAAACCAAATTTACTTGTAAAATGGATACTTGAATACACATGTGTACACATGTGGTGATAAACATTTGACGTATACTTTGACTTTTAGTTTTGCCCATGTCCCATTCCCTAACATGAATGAGGCAGGATTTGTGACTTGTAATGCAGTCAAGACTTTTGGGTAGCGATCACGTCATCCATCTTTGTCTACAGTTTTTCTTTTTCAATCCCAAATCATTGTGAGGATCTGCAACTGTGCTACTAATTCAGTGTTAAATTGTCATGACCGGCTGAGGCTACAGTATTACAGCCAGATTGCATAATAATCATCTACAGATCATCGGACTCTGGGACTTTGACAGGCTCCAGGGTAATGGTGGGTAAGATCAGATGGGTGCCCTCGGATATCCATCCCTGGGCTGTCCTGTTGAAGGTGGGCCGCTTTATCCCCGGCTCCTGGAGCTCTGGGTATCTGGGCGGGCTCAGGTCTATCTCCGGGAGTTTGAACGTGATTCCTCTGGGAGCTTTGTCGAAGCCACCGTAAGGAGTGGCAACCCTGTAATTGAGATTGAGGTGTCAATTCTACTCATTCTTTTGCTGTCTAACAAAAAACGCGTTGGCAGATTTCTCACCGGTTGAAGGATTTGTATTCAGGAAGCTCTGATCTTGGGTCCTGTTCAAGCATTGTTAGTTTGAGAGACTCAGCAAGGTCGGGGTCACTGAGGATTGCCTCCTCCCATGGAGAGTGGTAGCACTTGTGCAGAACCGTGACATTTGACTTTTCTGCATCTGATAAGGAGAGAATGAAATACACACAGGTTCCCAAGATGAGAAACGTCAGTATGAGATCCTGTGGTGGAGGATTCTTCCAAAAAGATCGGTGTGAAGTCAGAGGTCAACACAGAGCTGCTTCCTACTGTCATTTTCTTTGCAGCTGAGGTTTTAGAGTGGATTATGAAGAGAGGCACTTCACACAGGCGGACTGAGTTGTCCATCATTACGAAGTGAGGCCTTAAAATAGCACATTGCTGAAGTGTGCACTCATCATATAAAGTGTCAATATGACATGACGCCCCGCAGACACATTTTAGAATGAGCACTGGGCTCTCTCTGCTATTCAAATAGAAGAAAATAAAATAAAGCTTCTATAGTGATTCAGGTTGTCTCGCCACTCAAAATAGCCGGAGATAAGTCCAGCTTTTACCAGTTGACATTATTATGACGTTGTCTTACATAATCAGTTGACTGTGAAGCCTGGTGACATACATTTAGAACACTTTGATGGTGGAAGAAGTTGTGGTTAGCAATGATTTTCAACGACAGTATTCATATTGACAATGTTAGAACGTTCTTCTTCATTTATTTGTTTTATATGGTATTAGTCCATAAACAGCCTAAAGCAGCATTATTACCTGATTGTGAGTTTTCTGCATTAACAACATTTTCTCCATCGGGTGCGTCCACTTTAATTTCCACGGTGTGTGTGTTCGCCACTAAAATATCATTCTGCAAATACAGAGTAGAGACAGTACACGTCTTCAGATTCAGATAAAACACAGATTGTGCGCCAAAATTCAGAGTTGGCTCACTGAAACCTGCAATTCACACACACACACACACACACACACACACACACANACACACACACACACACACACACACACACACATCATCAGACACTGATAAAGTGCTCCCCTCAGCAAAGTGCCCGAGCAGCCTCTCCAGAAGATTTGGCCCTGGAGGACAGAGGAGGCACGAGGCACATGTCTCTTTTATCATCCATGTGTTCTGACACTTTTTTTTCAAGAGCATATTTGCTGATGAATTTGCCAAATGAGTCACACACAGACAACTGTGGTGACTGAAATGAAGCTTTCACTCAATCCCGTCATTTTAAATGAATGAAATGACTGATCACAGAAACACAAGGTGACTTACATTTAGTTGTGTGTTCGCCTCATTTTGGATGCTTTCAAATGTGTATTTGTCGGATCTCCTCTGGCGCATTTTAAAAAGACGAGAACCTCTGTTGGAAAGCAACGACAGTTCCTCCAACATGATGTCTTTAGGAGTGCTCAGCTTCTTCCCCAGGTCCATTGTGTCCCCTGTCCAACAACAGAGGTGAGGACAAAAAAGAATTATGTTGAGGATCAAACTCATCAACGTCACTATACTGGTCATTGCAATATTATACAGTGTTGAGCTAACATTTTCAAAATCGAATTCACTTATGCCGACGTGTATTATTCACTAATTTTTCCACTTGCTTCAAAGTTATTGGGTTGATGTCCACTAGTAAAGGTGATCACGGTGATTTGATAAATGTTAAAAAGATCAGCAGGCAAAAAAAGTCTGGTTTTAATACCTTAAATTATGATGTAATGCTTATATGGTACCTATATTCTCAAAAAGGCTAGTGTGTGATTAAGATAATTTAGGAAGGGTTCATCTTCACCCCCTGGGCCCCCTGCTGGGTTAATCCAGTCCTGGTTTTAGAGCTGGAAAGTGCAGGATGGACAATATAAATAGAAATACCCCCAGATACAATTGTCATCAGGTTTAAGGGAGGGTCCATAAATGACGTCAAAGGGGTTACTAAATTAAAAAAATGTTCACGTTATAAGTTCTGTCATGGAAAATGAGTAATCATTGTAGTCGAGAATAAGACTTGGACGTGTGTGGTGCGCCCTCGTCCACCAATAGTGACGGAATGTGCCCCAGCTGTCACGAACCTTCACATTATCCAAACAGCTACACAGTTGCGCCCCCCACCCCCCACCCTCTCTCTCCCACCCACCTAGAAATAGATTTTAAAAATGGACAACGACAAAGGATTTCACCATATAGTAAATCACCCCCATTAGCTTATTTATGGCAAGTGCTGAAAAGTAGCCCTGACATTTTGAACCCAGATCAGAGTGGATATTCTCTTGCAGCAGTGTGTTTGTCCGCTGAGCCTCGGCTCCATATCGTCATACCATTGGAACCATGGACCTCTCGGCAAATAGCTGCTGCACACTTCTTCCTCTCTCCAGATGGCATTGTACAGAATTGTGACATTGCGGTTGGCAGAAGTCGGGAGGACTGGAAACACATAAAGGACACAGGATGTAGTCGTTCTGCCCAAGTCATTCAGAAGGAGCTTTACTCAATACTGGTGACCCCACAGAACAACAGTGCCCATCAGCCGACAGGGCTTCAAGCTAAACATACAGTTTGGTGAGAGAAAGTGTAAGGTCGTGTCTCACCAGCTGTCAGAGAAATAAAAACCATGAATCTGTAATCCTGTATTATGTTCAACATGAAATGGGGCAATATTGAAAGATTGACAAGGACAGAATGAGACACTCAGGATACACAGAGACTTACACTTGATTAGACATATTTATTCCTCTAATCCTCTCTGTTACATAAAATATAAGCCTCACACAATTCTTTTTTACTCTTTAAAGTCAACCTCCCGTTTTCTATCCACATGCACTGGAATTGGAAGATGATCTGGAAGGTAACTGGTTAAATAAATCTGCGATGCCAGCATTCGTCATGTTGTAATAATCTCTGTAGATGTTACTTTTAACAGATTACAGTTTGTTGCATAATCCTGAAGCTCCCATTGTATCTGCATTGGTGGCACACATCGGTGGTTAGTTCTAAATCTGGCTTTGCCACTGGACCAAATTTTTTGAGAATGTGAGTGACTGCCATTAATATTTTTTACTAGATACATGACCTGTGTAAAGGTCAAGGTGAATATTGCGTCCTACTAAGAACTGAATATATTTCGTGTTCCCTATCTTGTCAAATGTAAAACATGATAAATATACTTCTTAATTTTTTTTAAATGTTCAGTAGCTCAATTGCTGTTGTCAGCATAATCTGATTTTGCAGCTGTGATATTTGTGTCAATTGCAATATAATTTCCATGCAAAGTCAATCAATTCTGGAGATAAAATTGACTTCTAGTTAACTGATAATCTCTTAGATGTGACATTTCCATAGGAAAGCGATGCTTGTTATTTACAGAAAAATACAAACGTTAGTTAGATGCAGCTGAATTTCATTCATTGCAAAGCAGTAGTGAAATGTTCTAACCTCAATCAAATTTAAAAAACACGGCATCTTCACAAAATACACCCTGACGAGGCTCGTCCATACCTGTGATGGCGTCCCTACTGTGTAACCTGTATCCTTGAAGGGGAGACACGGAGACTCAGGGGTCACCTACAGTTGGTAGTTTGATCTTCCCTGATCTTCTCAGTCCCGCACACTAAAGCCAAACTGTGAGTGTGTGTCCCTGTCTGTTGTGAATGGAATGCAGCTTACATCAATAGTCTAAATTTAACCTGCCAAACACTCAAAACCACTCTCTAACACCACGGGGCAGGGACAGAGACCCACCGAAGAGGAGAGGGAAGGATGGACAACACACACATGTCCACTGATGTTTTTCGAAGGCTTCACTCCTGAGACGTGTTTCTCTCCTTACTCCCTGTTAAATCTTCACAGTCAACACTCCTCTGCTGGTTGATGTAACCTCTGGGGCGCCGAGCCTTCAAGTTAGGGAGGTGGTTAATACCTCTCCTCCATCTGTGTCGTGTTACTGTCATTATGTGTGATTATGTTGGATAATGAAATACAGATGGTTGAGATAGTGGTCAGATTTTTATAAAGCAATGTCAAGGTCATTATCCTGGCAACTAAACAAATTGTCCAAACACAGATTTAATCTGCTGTGACATAAATTGGCCCAAAAGTAAAAATTCTGTTGAAAAGTCAGAAAATGTCCCTCAATCTCATTCTTTTTAAAATCAGCATTAATTACAGATGTTCTTAAGTAACATATAATGCTCTTTAACAAAAGAAGGAGTGTAGGATATGATCAGAGAATGGATCATAAACATTTTATCTACACAAAAAGGATTCTTACATACTCTAGTATATTTTCATTGCATAGGGTTAACATAAACATAAAGCATACAAAAAGACATAACGCTTTTTTGTGTTTTTTAATTTTTCACTTTGTGTTTAAAAGGTGCAAAAAGTAAGATTTTACTCAAGGAATTAGTCAAACACAGAGCAACAGTGAGTCCTGACTCCTGAATAAAAAAAATTAAACAATAAGAAGAAATTCTATTTTTTTTTAAACCTTGACACTCTTCTTTAAAAACACACAGTGTATAATTAAAGGTGGTATATTGCATGAATGTGTGCATGCAAAGTTTATTCTGCTTAATTTATAATCTTGAATAATAATGACAAAAAGCTTCTATCTACTTTGAAATCACATCCATATTTTACCAGCATGCAACACTTCAGGTTCAGTGAAGGTTCACTGCTTTCCTGTTTCCTCACAATGTAGAACATAAAGAATGTTGGTCATTGCTACGAATGAAAAAAAAAGTTCACTCCCTTACAACATGTTATCATTGCCACTGCAACAGTGAGACATTAAAACAGATTAAAACAAGATGAGCAACAATCTTGATGAAGATCGCTAAATTAAATATTCAGATGTGAAACAATTAAACCCACATCAACCTGAAAAAGTGATCCCATTTAGTGTTAAAGCTAAAGGTAAAGGAATGAAAAAGCCACACATGAGATTTGCTAAAATGACTAATTTCTCACTAAATATTTCAAACCAACACTGTCTCGATTACCAACAACTTCAGTGAGCAAACGGCACTCTGCCTGAAGAAGAGAAGTAATACCACATTTCTCTCAACTACTCCACACTGACTTTACCTCACATGACACATGCTTCGTGTCATCCTATTGACAATTTGTCTCTAATGGTCCATTTCTGTCAGCGCTACAGTTAGTGATCACTCGTACCATGAGAATAACAACCTTCAACATCAAGTCCATAAAACAAACATACAAATATGATCATAAATACATTTTAACCAACACATCTCAAAACTAAACCTTTTTTATTACCATTGATCAAGGACCTTTATCTGCACCGAATATAATTTTGTCTTCTCCGCTCAACAATCACAACTGCATGATTCTCTACACTGTGTACCTTCATTGTTAATACGTGCACCTGTATAGATCTTTTTCTCTGATAAATCTCACTTTTTGTCAGTGGCATTAACTTCTTGGGGCTGCACTATAGAGGGGAGAGTACTTTGTTGGACCGGGGCCTTGTCCCATGTATCCAATGCTGGCAGGCCTGAGAGGCTGGGCAGGTCTGAAGGGAGGCCCATAGAAGGCTGCTTTCTCAGGTGAGAATGTCCTGCTCAGAGATGGTGCCTGGAAACCAGGGGCCGCATGATAATGACTCCTACTGACAGCTGCAGGATCAAGAGACACCCTGCGCTTCCACTCATCTGGAGGCTCTGGCAGAGACCTGCGTTGCCCTGCAGCTTTGACATTAGAGGCAACAGATGACTGCAGGCTCTGGAACAGGAACGCCTCGTCCACTGCACCAATGGGGCTTCTGGATGCTGCCTCCCACGGTGACAGAGGCTTAAAGGCGCTTCCCTGAAAGGACGTTTGCCTCTGTGCAGGTAGAAATGACCCCTGGTTACCTGGTGTGCTCACAGGGGACAGAAATCTGGGTGAGGGCATCGAATCCAGTCGCCTGGGCAGACTCAGGGAGCGGCTTCGACCAAATACCTGAAAGAACAAGCACATATCAGTTGGCTGGTTTGGCAGCAGTGTTGTAGACTTTGCTGCCACCCTCTGGCTCCACTGATGCCAGGACTGTTTTGTTAAAGAAGTTTCATTATTTGAGGAGTTCAAACTAATTCATCGTTCTTGTATCTTTCTATCTCTTTTTTTCAAAACATTAATGTGGATTTCTTTGTCACAAATCACAAAGACCAATAACTGGTTTGAGCTTTCATATAAATCCTATAGCAGCGCAACAATGTTTGGAAAATGTCTCATGTGACCAAACATTTGACTCAAACTCACAAAAATTTTGAAAATAAATGAAATTTATTTTATAACTTACCTGCTGTTGGTCCAACCAACTTAAAAATAACAACAGTAGCACTGTAATGACATTGATGGAACTTTTCTTGGAAATATTTCTTGCTATTTCTTGCAATGCAAACCCACTGCACAAGAAAAGGTAAATTATAAACTGAATATAAATATAACATGTCCATGCTGATGAAAATGTGTGGTCAATTGTCGGACCTAACTGTTTGACTGATTGTTCTCCATTATGTAGTGATGTAGAATTTCATGATAAATTCAGTGTTTTATTCAGACAAGCAGAGAAACTTCCTGCAACACAATAATGTTACCACAGTAACTCTCAGAGTCACAGTTGTTGTGTGAGTTATTATATGGGTAAGCTCTTTTGAATACAAACCAAACTTAAGCAAAATCAGTTTTTTCTTTGGATCCAATCAACAAAAACATACATGTATTAAACTGTTTGGCGATACTGACTTGTTGTCAATAAATAATAGGAATAGCAAAATGTAAATTCTGCTTCACTGTAGATTTTCTCTCCTCATAGTCCTCTGAAGGCCAAGATCATAGTTCCAAGCTTTTTATTGGTCATCGAAGTGCAGTGAGAAAAAACATTTGTGAAGCTGACATAAAATAATAAATCATGCAGGTCAGTGATGGTGGTAGTTTTAAAATGAGCCATAATATTTTGAAACTTGTCAATAATGTGGTAGGAGTTATTAAAAATATATCGCGTAAAGTGCCGTACATATGAATAACTTGTGTGTGAAAGTTTAGTGAGGAGGATAGAGGAGGAAAAATGGGTTTCTCAGAAAAAAGGTGTGATACAGCAGCACTGGAAAAGAAGACAGAAGCTCAGGACACATGAAGTACACAAGGAGAAGGAAAGAGAAGTTTAATAGCACAGAGGTGCAGAGTACAAGGAGTGCAATAAACAGTGATACGTCAGAAAGATGAAGACTTAAAGACACACAAGATCATTAAAGTTATTTCCTACTTCATTTTTTTGAGTTGCTATAAATGATGTGAATCAGAAACATGAAACTCAAATCTCTGTGATTTTCTGCTCATGTTTTACATCAAGGATGAGGATATAAGTCTGATGACTTTAGAGACAGTTTAATAACTGGCCATAACTGACGATCCACAAAAAATTTCATTTAAAATCATCAGGGTTCATGATCACCACTAACCTTTAAGCTTTTAGCCGTCGTGATACCATCAAAGTTTGGAATGAGACTGAAGGAATTGCATCCAAAAAAAGAAGTGCATAGACAGTTTCTCCCCAAACACACTGAGTAATTAAAAATACTCTATGAATATAATTGTACAAATAAGTTACTCTTATCCCAGATGACACGATTATGAACTGAATATTTTGGACTTAAATTAAGTTTTATTTATGTTATTGTTGTGTAGTTTTGGGGTCATGGTGACTACTGCTACATAGTAATTCATGCAATCTTATTTCTTACAAAACACAAAAACAGACTGAAGCCCTTAGTTGAACAAGGCTCTTTCACACATTATTGCACAGGTAATAGCACTTCCTGAGAATCACTCAACATTATTTAGTCTCACATTTCCTTTTTTAAGCACTAGTGAACCTCACTAATTAAAGGAAGATGATATGTTCAAGTTATTTATTTTAGTTATATATGTTATATTCTTGCATTTTCATTACATTGCCAGATAATTATATGCTGCAGCTGCATATTGTAAGTGATTGTTGATGTGGCTTAAATTAGGGTCTATACATTTCCTATACAATGAGTCAATATGCACGATTTTCAAATGTTTACTGAAAGAAAGGTTTCCTAACAAAGTATAATCCATCTTGTTCACTGCCATCTTGGGTAATCTGTATATTAAGGACTTTATTAAGTTTCGTTTCTATATTCACGATGATGAATACATTTTTATGAGTATCAGTTATTTTATAATAAGTTTGTTACATGATCATATGACCCGGAAGTTGACCGACGCACCTAAAGGCAAAATAGCGCATGAAAACAATAAACTTGTATGGTTTTATGGTTAAAAGTAATTAAGTTACTTCATCAAGTACTGATTGTTGAATTTGAGATGTAATATGAGAGACATTTTATTCTTCCGTTGTTGTTTTCAGCTTTATGCATATAACTATTTAGTTTTTATTTCTTTTAGATTTGTGATGTTCTATGATGCTTCAGTCCAAAATAAATGTGAATGTGGACATCAGTACGAAGCAAGGACCCTGTTAAGACCAGAGTAGTCTCCACCAGTAAAGTATAAGACATATTAGGTGCTACCACAGTGTTCTATTATCTCAGTGGCGCCTCCACCAATGACCATAAACAGTATTAGGACTAATGAATCAGAGCAAAAGGCCTCCACTGTTTGCTTGCCACTACTGGCTTCTTGGCAGAAAACTTTGGACGAGGAGCCATTTGACGTGCGCCTCGAGCAATAAGTGATGCAGGAGAAAAAGCTGAAGCTATGCTGTCACTGGTAGATGACAGCGGGGAGGAGGTGCTTGCGGGCCGGGCGCTTGGTGCTTGCTTGTTGCTTATGTGGTGGGCCGCAGGTGTGACAGTGTGCTTTTCATCCAAGCGCTTGTCAGTCGTGAGATGCTCTGCTGATCTCGTGTTTTGGCAGGCAGAAGAATTTTGGGAACTTACCACTCCAGGAGACTTAGTGGGGGCTTCTGCCTTGGACTGAACAGCGAGCTCAGAGGTGTTATAAGTAGAATGAGAAGAGGCAGATCTAAGTTTGAGACTTTTTTTTGCCTCAAACTTTGATGCCGGAGTTGGTTTGGGGCTGGGGCTGGGGCTGGGGCTTTTGGCCTCTGGGACTGCATCATACTTGAACAGTGATGAGTCCAACTGATAAGGTTGATGTTTCATGATATCTAAGGCATTTAGGTGCTTTGGGGGTGCTTTAGGTTTTTCTTTGGTCTTAGGCTTGACTTTGGAGCTTGTGGGAGGGGGTTGCTTGGCTGCGGATGGAGGGTAGAAAGGGGCAAGAAGGGGATTGTATGATAAAGGGGGAGGGGCACGGACATTGGAAGAATACCTCCAGGTGTTGGGGAGGGAGGAGGTTGGGGAGGGGGATCTCATTTTATTTGCTTGCACAGTTTCAGCATCAACAACGAACTTCTCCATGCGGGACTGTCTTTTGGCAAACAGCTGTGCACCTTTTCCTGCCATAGTTGGACCATCACCAGATCGATTAACACCTCTGTCTGAGACTCGACCCCTTGGAGAAGGCTGCGATGCTTTTGGTGCATGGACATATGACTTCCCTATTTTTGGTGGGCAAGAAGCAACTGAGTTTGGAACACTGTCTGACTTATTCCTTGAGGGTGAAGATGGGTGATGTGGGCTGTAAGTAGGACTGCGGGCCTGGATACTCACAGGGGATCTTGATGACTGTGGATTCCAGCTATTTGTGGTTGGCTGAAGATGAAGCTGAGGAGAGGCGTTGACTGGAGCCCAGGCGTTGGCAGGTGTTTGAAGTGTTGCCTGAGTTTGATCTGGTGTCCAACGGTTGACCATCTGTTGCTGCTGAGCCCAATCTTGCTGCTGTAAGTAATGCTGACTAGGTTGTGAAATCGGACTTCTTGGTGGAATATATGGTTCCCCTAAGGGACTCCTGCTCATCCAAGGAGGACAGGTTGGATTGATGGTGGGTTTTGGGGCAACTGGTGGGGGATTCTTGAGTTTTATTGTTCTTGGTTGCATAAAGTTGCAAGCTTCAGCCCCGAGACTAAAGCAGTCTTCCTCTGACTCAATATAAGACCTTCTTTCTCCTTTGCGTTGTAGGTGGGGATCTGATTCCTGTCCCAGCGCTGACGACTGTTTATTAGTACCTTTCCTTTTTGACTCTGGCAGGATCCCCGTCTTGATTGCTGGCACAGATATCCGCTCATCTCTTGAGGCTATGATGTCTCCAGTCGGGGACCAAACAAGTGGGTTAGTGTTGAAAGGCACAGCTACTTTAAATCTTGGTTCATTCTTCCTTGTGACTGGAACAGCACCACCAGGCCTGACAGCAGCAGTTGTACCATCTTGAAATCCTAGGAAGGGCCTTGCAGTTCTGTTTGGCACCAGGGGTCTTGGCACATTGGCTTGGTGGTTCATCTGTTGGATATTTTCTTGGTATTCATGCTGCTTGTGACTTGCATCCATGTAGTCGGCCTGGTTATTATGCCTGTACATTTCCTTAGTGTCATATATAGTCTGTGCTTCTGTACATTCAGGCCCTGTTAGTGCCTCCACATATAATCCTTTATTCCTCATTTCTTCATGCTCTGACACAATCTCATCCATCCTTCTGCGGCGTTGGGCAAACATCATAACTCCCTTCCCTTTTGTCTCTGGTAGCTCCTCCATTTCTCGAACACCTCCCCAATTCAGACTCAAATTATGCTGCTTGTGATAAACAGAATACTCCTCCTCTAGCTCGGAATCACTGGTTGCCACGAAGTTGTACCCGGCTGATGGGACTTCTCCGGATTCCTCCTCAATCTGATCTTCGCTGTTGAGCTTATCGCCAGTCCCGTAACTCACGAGTGTGTACTTCTTGACCCGCTGGCGGCGTTTTTTAAACAGCAAGGCTCCCTTATTTTGAGGATTGGGTGCATCAGTTAGAAGCCGGGCGATTCGTTTACATTTAGACTTGGTCTCCTTCACGTGTCTTTCTGATTGGCTCTCGCTGTGACTAAGCCCTGTGACAATGGAAAAGAGAGAGAGGGAAAGAGAGAGAAATATAAGGCAGCAGTGTGAGGAAGATAAAATAAACTGAAATGTCCAAATAATTAATAAGTTAAGTAAGATAACTAAAATAATAAGTTACGTAATTCTTATTTTTATTGTTATTATTATTATTATTATTATTATTATTGTCTTCAAGCACATTAAAATCAAGTAAGACACATTTGAAAGTTCTCTTTGCTGATGCAAGTGCACTAATAAAAGCATCATATTTAGTTTCAGCTAACTTAGGTCCGGTGGGGGGGTTCTGTGAGGCAAGAAAAGTGAGGAGCTCACTTTCCATTGCAGTCAAGTCTTACGATTGGAAAAGGGATCGGGTGACAGGCCAGGGGGACACATGCTCGCGTCTGTCAAATTTGTTTCTGTCGGTCTCATCATATGGTCATATTTTATTCTTGTCCTGCTCTGACTCATAAAGTCATGGGAATTCTCCCTGTATGTCCAGATTAAAGAGAACCCAGCATGAAAATAACCAGCTTGCAAAAGTTATTTATTGATTTAATGATGGAGCCGATTTACATTTAAATATTTGACCTCACAACCCCCCTCTAACGAATGCTTAAATGATATTTAAGGTCATTACCTTAAGTGACATTGTTTTTTGAGCTGCATTTAAGCCACACACAAAATTCTACATATTAATTCATTTAAAATTAGCTTAAAAATTAGCTTAGTGTACACAATTTGCAAGACCAGCTTCATATATCTAATAAAATGTATAAAAGAGGGTGGAAGGTTAATACTTACGTGTGTATCTTCCCCTGTGCCTGTCCGGTCTGCACAGATCTGTGTCAGACTCTGAGTTCCACTTCTCTGCCTGCTCAGCACGCTCGTCTGAAATTTCAAAGAAGACAGGAGCAGGAGGTGCTTCACTACTCCCTCCTTCCTCTGAAGATTCAATCCTCCTGTTCCCAGTGGCTGGGTCCTGCCTATTACTGGCTCCCTGCGGCTCCTCCGGGGCCAGGGTCAACGCCAGTGTCAGGTCAGCTGCATAGCCAAGGGAGGAGGAAGAGGATGGGGAATGCAGTGGGGATGTTTGGCTGGCCTGAGGCTCAGAGTCAGGGTGCTCTCGGGGTGGGGACAGGGATACTGGTGAGGTTTGGACATGAGGAGACTCCCTCAATTCACTAAGGTAGATATTGTCCTCTTCTTTGTATGAAACATCCTCTTCACTTCCACTAAGTTCAGCCAGGGAACGTTGCTCACCTGCAGATTCCCATTCTTGTGGCTGAGGGCGGTCTGGGGACCCAGGGTCCGGGTCTAAAGGGTCCTCATCACTAATATCATCCTCATCAAAGGACTCCGCCAAGGACTCAGAGGCACAACGTTCCTGGGAACCATCTGAACCCGACCAAGGGACCAGGTTATTATTGTTCTCTGGGTCTTTGACCTCTGGTTCCATTTTCTGATGCTGTTTCACAATGTCCTGGATGTCACTGATGATACCTTTGTTAAAACACAGATAATCAACATCAAGCCTGGGAGCCATGCACATAAAGGGGTTCATAAAACTAAATTCAAAAGGACTTTCAAACATGTTATCAATAAATATGTAAAATTCACAATAAAATAATCCTCAGCTGGTCAAACAGCAATGATTTGCCAAAAGGCCAAAGTAAACATTTAATGGACGTCTTGCAGAAATTGCATATTTTAAAAAAACTCATCAAACTCAAGACATTTCAGTACAATGTCCCTTTGTGGCATTTCTAACTACTGTGTACTTCTCTTGATATTCCAATCCTCAATAGGAAGTGCAGCATTGCTCTGGAAGTTCAGGGGCTGCCATCGCTCTACATGGAAAGGAATTCAGCATCGAGGGGGAAGCAGCATCGCATCCAAGACTATAAACAAAACAATTGGGTGGCTGTTTTCCGAACTCATGTTTATACAGCGTCCTCTCTTTCCCTCCACTGTTCTACATCTATCACGGCAGCTAATATCAGCACGGCAATGGAAGTGGTCAGCATTTCCATTTAAGAACTAAATATGAGAGACTATTCATTTTATACATAGTAGAAATATTACTCCCCGTCTTCCCCTCCCTTGGAGCCAGATGTTTGTTTTGTTACTTGACATAAATCATTTACTTTTATTGTTGTTGTTATTCTGGTAATCAATTGTTGCATCGGAGCAGTTGGAAAATGGTTACAAATCTGTGAAATTAAATTATAAAAGTGTAAAATAACTGTCAAATTTCTTCCATCACATCAATAGTTGTATTCAACTCTAGATATCTGTTGTTCACAAGTTGATATATGGATATGTACAAGAATATGAAGCTGAGTAAAGAACATTTAAACTCTGGAAAATTACAGGGACTTTCAGACATTGTAGCGTAAACACGATCCTTTAACTCTTAAATACAACACGTCCCAACCTCCAGAAGGTGGGGCCATAACACTGCAGCACCAGTGCAGCACAAAGTGTGATAAGATCCAGTTTTACACCATGCAGTTCATGTAACTTTACAAGAGACACAGACACCTACAAATGTGTGTAGGCATTGCATGAGTGGATCAATTCTGAAAAACCAAAAAGTACTTAGCAAAGGTCAAATGACATCTGAAAAAGACAGCTGCAATGTCATTTGCTTAGATTTAAATTACAAGCTCATGAATTCAATGAATGGATGTAAAGTGATGGCAGAGGCCTGTTGTGGTTGCACAGTTTTATGAGGCTATCACCACTACAAAAAATAATAGGAGTACAAACAAGTGTTGCTTGCTGTCAGAGTTACAATGAGCACGACAGCATCATAAAACAAACCACTGGAGTCTTCAGAACTTTAGTGCTGTCCCCATAGTGTCCCGATGTCAACATCCTGCAGTCTGGCATCACACGAAGAGCAGAACTGTGACTCACTGTCTGTCTGTCACACATAGTTACACACAGTTATTTCACATAACAGATGTATGTCTGTCCCAAAGTGTCTGAGAGAGAGGGATCGTTTCCTGCAAGACTGATCAACCTGTTCTGCTCCCAGAAGACCACAAGCATCAAATATATTGCAGGATTAAGAAAGACACTGAGAAATACTCACTTTTTATCTGTGTAATTTCAGTATTGTATTTGTGTCATCCTGTTTACACTGTATATTCTCTGTTTACATAATGACGCTTGGTGTGGAGCTTTTTTACTGATGCTCTGTACTTTTCTCTTTTTAAAAAAAATATATTTTGTGTCCATTCATTTTTTTGTATTTTTGTCTTTCTTGGGATAAAATAACAACAATACTAACATTTGCATTGTTTATATTTATTTTTTTGCCTATAATTTCTATTAACGCCAAAAAAATATTAAATGTATTCTTTTAATGATTCCTTATCTTGTCTCATCTAACATCTATCTGACCCACATTAAACCACATGACCTTTGTAGCATTTTTTCGATACCACTATGACCCTTAAGATTCAATACACACACTTCCAGCACTGCTATAAGGTACAGGCTCTTTGGCGCTATGTCCCATGCCCACTCTTCTCTTCCCACTCGGTTCCACTTCATTTCATCATTTTACCATCATCAAACCTTGCTTTAGTGCTGTCGGAGTCTCTGTTTCCTAGTATGGCTGTAACTCCAGTGTGTTGACTTATTGCTATGGAAACACGGAGTCAGCATCCTTGACGGAGGAGCAGAGTCTTGGCCTCGGGAGTGACCCCTGTGAGGACTGAGCCGGCGGATTAGGTGTTTCTATGTTATTATATAATTAGACCATCTTTCCTGAACCACTAATGAGAATCACACACATTTTTAACTACTTCCAAAATGACCTTTTTATTACTTGCTCCAGGATACAACACTAAAGCATCTTGTATTGCAATTATGTGGACAGATTTCCTGATAGATACTAGGTCAATTAACATGTTGCAGCAGCAAATAGAAGGATACTATGTTATACTATAATACTACTGTAGGATACTATACACAACACACGTTTCAATGAACACTAAGATGCAGAATTTTGTCCATTTCTGCAAATTGATAGATATTTGCATCAGAATGAAAAATGACTCGGCGAATGAATGACAGGAAATACAAAACAGTATGGTGATTAAATCATTAAATTAAAAAAATAAAAGTAAGCCACTATAATTGGGTTGAAGAAGTGAATCAATGAAATCATAACTTACATTAATCATCCCTGAGGTGCAATTAAAAGACAAAGATTTGTTCAGAAATGGTCTCATCACTCGATATCCAGCATTGTCACGTTCACGTCCCAGCGACTCGCTCACACCGTGTCCTAGCACATCCACGTACGCTGCTGTATTTAAGAGAGAGAAGAAGAGGTGATCCTGGTTCGACCTCCCCCTCAGACAAAGCTCAGTTAGCATCTGAATGAAGATATTCTTAGACTTGTGTGGGTGTTACATGTCAGCGTTAAAATAAATTCACTGACTGACCACTGACAGAAATACAGAGACATTCTTTATCTCATGCAACATCAATGCAAAGACACTGTGTATTGTTTTACAGCAAGTTCCATTGATAATCATTTGTTCATTACAATCGAATTGAGGCAAGAGATTAGTGAAATGCAAGGTAATGTTGGTCATGATAAAGGTGCTGTACAGTCGATACATGAGCTAAGAGTGCTGTTTTGTAGGACTGTGATGCCCGTACATGGAACTGAATCTGAATTGGAAATGCTGGAATGGGGAAGTAATATGGGACTCCACAAATTATAGTTATTAGCTAGTACACACAGAACACAGTTAAATGTGGGTGAGCCTTCCTATGGAACTCATCGTTAATGTTAAATAACGTTTTACCGTTCATTATTCTCTGCAACAGTGTTTTTACACCTGAAAGACTGACTGGTTTGTAGACGGGCGAGCGTCTGGCATCAGCGTGTTGTCAGTTCAGCTGATGAATTCCCTAAATATTTTGAATAAAGTGCATAGTTCTGTCTGAATGGAGAAAATGCACAAACCGGTTCACTCTGGTTGCTACTGTAATATCATGATGGTTTTACTACCAGCAAAATGAATGTTCTCGTCATTCAGACGTGATATCGTTAGAGCGAAAGACAGCGATGTTTTTCTTCTTCAAATTTTTAATGCTGTCTCAACTCACTGCAGTTCAGTCAGGAATACTTTGTCATGATTTACCCATTTGTTGAAAATGGGGATACAGTTATGATTGGCGCTGAAGGCTCCATTCTTTGGATGTTCCCTGGATTAGCCGAGCAACTTGCTAAGATAAAACAGGGAACATGTGCAGAACCCCCTGTTGGGCGTAGCAGGCAATGTACGTTTGTTTCAGATGAATATCGTTTACCACGACCATGTTTGGACTCGGTGCTAAAAGGTGGAGGGTGGGGTGGTGGAGGCAAGTTGCTGGCAGCAGGAGTGGGTGGCAGTGTGGCTGAGCAGGGATCAGTGAGGATGAGGTCGTATTTAAAGGGACCTTTGGTGAGAGAATGGACTGTGATTGGTGGGTGGCTGACGAGCACCCATAGATCGGTAGCTGACAGCTGAGCACATGACTCCGTGTCCTGCATGAACTAATGCAATGCTTCATTTTGTCCAAAAGTATAAATTATTCTTCGGTCCGAGGTCATTTTCAAACCATTTATTTTGGTTCAGACTTAGTTTGAATGTTCGGACCAAACAAGGCAGGCATGAGAGCCGCCTAAAAGCCCTTTGATATTTCCAAGCGTGAGGCTTTCTATGTCCGAGCTCTAAGAGCAACATACAACTTGTTTACCTTACAATAGCTGCTTCACAATTAGTTTGATGCTTCACTCATTTGTAATAGGGAGAATGGAGCCTCTTTCATTTCCACTCCTCACCCTGAACATCTGTTCTTACTCTATGTAGTGGGTTTGATCTCCTGTGCTACTGTGTGTAACTATAATCAGGTCCAGCAAGTTCAAGTGTAATCTTGAACTGTAGTTCAGTTGAAAAGACTTGAGAAGTTATTCAAGTTTTATCTCAGATATTCAGCAAAGAAACGTTTAAAATATGAAGAATTTTAAACAGAGCTTATTGTATTTGCTACGGCAGCAGCTCTACTGGTTCAGAAAACCGAGGATCGTGGGTAATAGCCATCATTTGATCAATCTTTGTTGCTCAGTCAAAGTTACAAAGTGTAATTTTCCCGGGTGTGTTGAAAACCTTTAATGCATCGAATACAGTTCTTCACACAGTATATGACAATATGCAGCATTAAATGGCATCAACATTTTAGAGTAAATGCTGCCACTTTGAACTGTCAAGACATCACAGTTGTTTTCCTGTATGTGGAGAAGTTAATCTCCGTTTGTTGAGACTACACAGCCTCTAAAAAGTATGAGCTAAAATCGTTTTTCATTTCTCACCACACCCTACTCCACCACATATTTGCTTTTGGTATTTGGCTCTTGAGCACTGTTCACATTCAAACCCATTTCGAAAG